CGGACATATTATATATTAAATAGTGGTTCTCCAAATATACAACCAACTACTGCATTTAGAATTAATCCACCGTGCATTGCATATTTATTAAATAATATAATTATTTTTAATTTGAAATATGGTATAATAAAAATTATATAAAAAAATAGTGTAAATTTATTAAATACTTCAATTAAAAACTTAAACATTTTTTTATTATTATTTTTAATGGAATGGATATTCGAATATTCTAAAATATTGAAAATTAAAAAAAAAAAAAAAAAAACAACAACAACAACATATTCCTTTATTTTAATATTTTAGTATTTAAAAAAAATATTTTTTTATGAAAATTATTTGAATATTCGTAAAACAATTGAGTTTCATGAATTTATTTGAATAAATATATTTTGAAATACTGAAAATATAAATAAGATTTTTTTATTTCGAATTTATAAAATATTAACTTTGGAAATAATATATATACATGTGGTAATTATTAAATGATTGTGTAAATGTAAAATAGGAAAAAACTTAAAAACATCCATAAATAAAAATGCCACCTAATCAATTGCAGAATCCACCTAATCAATTGAACTCCAACTAAGCAATTTTGACAAATGACATCATCATTTGCCACATGTCAATCATTGAGGGCATAGATCCTCTTTTTATATTATATATAGATTTATTGAAATAGTATAGTAATATGTTATAATAATTGTTTAATTTACTAGAAATATTATAATTAGGAAGATTTAGGTACAGCCCCCCACTCGAGATTAGCATAGTGTAATTGCAGAATAATGGAGAAAAGGTGGGCTCGTCGGCATTTCGTGGTCCCTACATTTAATTTAATCAAGAAAATTTTCTCCATCACTCTCTCTCTCACACACACACTCACACTCTCTCTCTCACACACTCACACACAACCACTCACACACTGCCCATGTGCAATGCTCCATCAGTTCTTCGCTGGCTCTCTCTCATCTCCAGTTAAGACTCGGAAAAAATAAAAGTTTTGTGAATGTCACATTCAAGAACATGAACTTGCACTTTCCATAACACAACCTTATAACACAAGAACAAGGTTTATTTCTCTCTCTCACACACACACACACACACTCACTGTGAGAGAGAGAGAGTATGGATTCCAAGGCTCTTCTCGATTACGCCCTGTTCCAGCTCACCCCAACAAGAACAAGGTATGCTGCTCTTCTTGCTCTGTTTTTCCAACTCACCCGCATGTGTTGAATTTCGTTAAAGATTGGATTTTTATGAATGGGGTACTGATAAAGATTTGATCTTTTTTGTTGGGTTTTGCTTTGATTTTGGGAATTAAAAAAAAAAAAAAAGGTGTGATCTTGTTGTGTTTTCGGGGAAGAAAAATGAGAAATTGGCATCTGGGCTAGTTGAACCTTTCATTGCTCACTTGAAGTATGCGAAAGATCAGATTCCGAAAGGCGGGTATTCGATTACTCTCCGCCCGCCCGCCACCGGTGATGATGCCTCTTGGTTCACTAAGGCCACATTTCAGAGGTAATTTTGTATCTATATGTGTATTCATATGTATAGATTTGATTTTAGTTCAATCTGCAACTATCTGATCTTGATGCAATGTTTATTGTTGAACTTGTCTTGGATTTGTAATTAAATGACAATCATTTATATTGATCACATGCCATAACTGGATTATAAACCAAGAGTGAAGATTGTGGAAGTTGAAATGTGTTTAGAGTGATTATGGGGTGAAAAAAGTTCGAATCTTGATATGATTATTACTAATTGAACGAGGGATTCAACTTGTTTTCGATTTGTGGTTGGCAGATTTGTACGATTTGTGAGCACCCCTGAAATTCTCGAGAGGATTATACGAATAGAAAGGGAAATTCTGCAGATCGACGATTCGGTTCAATCTAGTGAAATTCCTCAGGTGGAGGAGACGGGAAATCCAGGGGAAGGTACGAACGACCATTGCATCTCTTAATAAGAAAATCTATGTCAAATGAAAAAGATTCGTGTATATATATATATATATATATATATATATATATATATATATATAAAAATCTTGAAAATGGTACTTGTATTAGTTTTTTGCTTACTAAATACTAAGCACATTGTGTTATCAGGAAACTTGTCAGTTGTCGATGGGAACACGAAGAAGTCAACTAATCCCTCAAAGGTATTTTGACCGATTTTGACCGACACTAACGAGTAGATAATCTTTCGCATTTTCTACATAATTCAACAATTTTTTTTTGTCATGGCTTTTCTAGTTAACTTCCGAAGAAGAAGATCACGCAGCTGCACTGAGAGAAAACTCGAGGTAATTGATAATTTCTCGCGTACTAAATTCCACGAATTTACTCTTTATATAACTCTTTTAGTAACCGAGTCGTCAATTTTTTTGTTACAGAGTTCGTCTTCAACGCCTTATGGATACTCGAAAGGCGATACTGCAGAAAGAGCAAGCCATGGCTTATGCTCGTGCAGTCGTGGCGGGATATGAAATGGACACCATTGATGACCTCATATGCTTCGCCGACATGTTCGGAGCATCGCGTCTAAGGTATTAGTACTTAATTGTGTTGCCTTTTTTTTTTCTTTTTTGTATTATTTAAATATAATAAATCCTTTTATCGTCGATGCAGAGAGGCGTGCGTTGATTTCAAAGAGCTTTACAAGAAAAAGCATTCGGACGATCAATGGATGGACGAGTTAGCTGCAGTACAAGCTTACCCTTTGACCGACCTCTCGTTTATGGGAGCATCTGGAATTACGCTAACCGGTGATCAAAATAATATTCATGGCAATGGAATCTCCCCGATTATCACTCCAACAAATTCAGGTAAATATATATTTTTGGGCTAAAATATGTTCGAATAGATATTGTTTTCGTGTCCTAATCTCGAGTGTGTTTTTTTTATGCCTCAGACAATAATTTGCCAGTGTCTGAAAAGACAGAGAATGTGAACAACCAGCAGATGCCATGGATGAATCAGATGCCTCCGTATATGTACAACTTCCAAGGCTATCCTTATCATCCAGGTATGCCACCTGTGCAGCCGTATTATCCAGGTCATCACATGGGGTGGTCCCCACCTATTCCTTCGAAGAATCAGAAGTCTTCGTCTAGGAAGAAGGAGAAATCTTCAGACACGAACGGGACAACGTATGACGACTCTGACGAAGATGAAGACGAAGAACAGACTGCAACTAGTGATTCAGACACTGTGAGCAATTCGGACGAGGAGAAGAAGGCTTCTTCGAAGGGGCAAAAGAATGCGAAAAAGAACAGGAAGAAGAGTTCGAAGAAAACGGTTGTTATTCGTAACATAAACTACATAACTTCGCAGAGGCGGAACGGAGAAGAGAACGATGGGCTGTCTGAAGAGGAATATTCCGGCGACGAAGCTTCGATCAGAGAGGGAGTGAATAGTGCGATCGCTTCTTTGGAGAAACATAAGAGTAGAGAGAAAAAACGGGGATCGAATGCTCGAAATGGATTGAATGGCTATGCCGAAGACAATGTTGGACATGATTTCGATGCGTACATTTCTGAAGGAGTGAAAGGAAGTGGTAATAATAATAATAGTAATGCGTGGGATACTTTCCAGAATATTCTGATGAGTCAAGACGAGCCGAAAACTTCGGACAAAGTTAGCAACGGTTTTGACTTGGAGTCCGAGAAAATTACGAGGCAGCCCTTGATCGGTGACGATTCGGTTCTTGTTTTTCAGAGGGAGAACGGTGACAGAACCCGCACTGTGGATTTCGTTAATGGTGAGGAAGTGCACTCGAATGCGAAGAAACTCATTTCTCAAGATGAAAACGCAATTTTCGGACAACAATTGAACGGGTCGAGAGGTACTGCTACGATGGGGGGCCCGCCGGATTTTTCCTCGGAATTATCCACCACTACCAAAACAAGAAACGGCCAAGATTGGTTTGTTGCTAATTCTTCTGATGGTACTAAGCAATTGGGATTCTCCGATAATCTCGATTCTCTGTCTTATGAGAGAAACTTCGTTCAGAAAGAAACGACAAAGGCAGCAGCTTCTGTGGTGGATGATTCCTTCATGATAGAGTCCAGGTCATCGGCTGACCAGCACTACGTTTCGCACTGGAGGTCAACTGATATCAGCATGGACGCTGACGTGGCGGTTCCAGCCGCGCCAGCTGCCAAGTCGGGGTCGTTCGAACCAGACGACCTGTGCATGATGCTTGTGAGGGAATCGAAGGAATCTTCCGGTGGGCTGTGGACCCCGGAAATGGATTACGAAGTCGAGATTTCTTTTAATGAAGCTGATAATAAAAGACTATCATCGTCCGATGTTGACCAATCAAACGGTCACGCTGTGGAAGTTCCGGAAGCAAACGGTAAAAATACCAACGGCAAGAAAAATGCGGGCCCCACTAGAAAGAAAATCGAGATCGGATCTCTTGTTAAGAGCAAGAAGATTTCTCCGTCGAGCAGGTTAATGGCTCCAAAGACCAAGCTATTGAAGGTAATAAATTAAAATCGTACTAACTATCTCGATTTCTTTTCTTGTTTGACTTACATTACTCGTAATAATTCACTCGCGTGTATGTATATATGTATGGTATGTATATATATAGGAAGAAGACGAGAGAAAGAGATTGGAAGAACTGGTGATACAAAGGCAGAAGAGGATTGCGGAAAGAACAGCTTCGGCTTCTAAGAAGGTTCCGGCGGGAAGTAAATCTGCATCGGCGCCGCCGAAACTCGAGAAGGGCAAACCGTTAACCGCGGTTAAGGATACGAGGAGGTTGAGTCAACCTAAACTCACGGCAAATTGAAACTGTTTGCATGATCAATCACCTCATCATGGTCATCCACTCTGGTTGAGGACTTATAGCTGTAAGAAATGTTTATAGTCTTGATTCTTTGCTTATGTAATTTTTTATTTTTTTATTTAAAGGTGGTGGGGTATTTATTTAATTTATTATTCAATATAGTTGTCATGTTTGTCTGTTGCAAATAAATTGAATTTGGTATGTGTGTGTGTGATCACAATAAATGGAGAACTGGTAAGAGATTCCAGATTTTTTGTTATAGTCTTTAAATTAATTCTTGATATTTTTTATTTATTTTATTTTTAATAATTTAAATTGACTGACGTACAATGCTTATGGTTGAAGTTTGATGAACGTTGTAAGAAATTTTCTTGGGGAAATTTAATTATAATTGTTGATGACATATGTAGTTGCTTCTATGTTTAAACATTGAATATTTCAAAAGAAAGAAATAGAAAAGGATTAGTAGTTGAAACATTCTTTTTTTTTTAAACTATAATAACGGATATATAAACTATATTAGATTAATTATATGAGAAAAGTTCAACCTAACGACCGTTGATAAGAGGATTCGAATTTTTATATAGTATTTTATTTAAAATAAGTGATATTAAAACCATAAGCTCGTCGTTTTCCAAAAAATAACACATTCACGTATTTTAGATGAAATATATTTATGTGGCAATTTACCATACACCCCTCTACTGTAATTTCCTTTTAAATAACAAGTCACATTTTACATTTTACTAATGGGAAAATTACAGTTTTTCAAATCTTAAGTTTATACTGATTTCACATATGGTCCCTCATATTCACAAAAAAAAAACACATTTGGTCCCTCATGTTTCAATAATTGAACACTTTTAGTTATTTCCGTCAATTTATCGTTAGTTCGTCAGTTAAATTAGTGACAGACACACACTTGATTCCATTAGTACTAACGAAAAATTGACGGAAATGACTAAAAATATTGAAAACATGAGAGACCAATTGTGTTTTTCGTGAATATGGAGGACCAAATGTGGAATTGATGCAAACTTGAGGGATGAATACCGTAATTTTCCCTTTTGCTAACAATCGACTAGGTATTCAAGCATTAGTAGTCGGACCAAAATACCCCTAGCATTATATCCTGCAAGCCACCTTTTCACCTCGCCGATCAGAAAATAATTTCCCGGTATTTTTATATATCACAAACAACTCCTATTCTCCTGGGATTTGATTTAGCCGTTGGAAAATATCACTCATAAAAACAGTAAACTAATTATCCATACCATAACTGAATTAATGACAAAATTAAGACAGTAATTAAAATAAAAATCCCCCGAAAAACACGGCAACACACAGCTTTGTCCCCTAAAGAAAAACCAAGAATCCATCTTCTCCAATTTGGCTCTCTATTCTCTCTTCTTTTGGAAACAAAGGGAGAAGAAGAAAAGTTGTCCTGTAATGGATCCATGAAGAAACACATTCAGCATTGGGCTGCACGTTAAAATCATCATATTCTTTTTTAATTAAATTCAAATATTTGAATAGTCTTTCATCAAGAATATTTATTCTTTAACGTATCTTTATTTTTTTTATTTATTATTTTTGTCAAACAAATCTGTAATTTTTTAAGTGGTTTAATTATATTATATTACTGTCAAAAGGCCTTTTATTCAAAACCTCTATATAAAAAGAAGTTGTGATTAATTGGCCATCATGTCTGCCGGGGCGTTATGCGGTGTCGCACCTTTTCTTTTTCGCAAGAAACTTTCTTCCGTATTTGAGGTAAATCGTTTTTCGTTATCGTTTATATTACTTTAATTTTGCACGTTTTTTCGATTTTCCGATCAAGAAAATGGATTTTTTTATTGAATGTGTATATGTATATATACGTTGGAAAATCGGACAGGGAAAAGGGCGGTCGGAGAACCATCATAATAATAAAACCTTAAATTCGTCGAAGAACAATAATGGTAGGAACATGAAAGCATCCACAGTTAGTAGTACAAGTGGAGTTGCTGGCAATTTTATAACCATGACGGAACTTCGGAACAAGATTTCGATCTTTCGAGATTTGCTCGATTTTTCTCCTTGTTCTGCTTCTGCTTCTGTTACTCAGGTACATATACACCACACACACAAAAAGAACACGCAAATTAATTATTTGTCGTCGTAATTAATATACGGTATTTTTCGATTTTGTTTTTGGTTTAATTTACGCAGTTGCTGGTATTGACGATGACTGATCTCTATAAACGGTATCCGAAAATCAAACCAGATAATTTTAAGTCACACATTAAAGATGCAACCATGCATAAGGTTAGTTATCTAAAATCTTGAATTATTTTTAATTAATTTATTTATTTTAAACTAAAAATA